TACGAAACTCACTCGTTCTGTTGTGCCTTATGGGCTCTCTTTCGAGTCCAATCAGCAGCCGCACAGCGGCGCATGATAAAGGCAGAATGCTTTTACCGACACAGACAAGGGTATGACTGGCTGACGACTAATGAGCCAGAAATGACCATTCCAGTCTCCCTTGTCTTTGTCGGTAATAAATTTTTGCCTATATCATGCGTCGCTGTGCGGCTGCTGGTTGGGCTCGAGAGAGAGAACCTGTAAGGCACAACGGAACGAGTGATTTCCGTAAGAACGATCGGCGAGCGTCCCTCTTCCATGGGGCTTTTTGTCAGACTACTCACAGCACCGGATGGCAGTAGCTACAGATTACAGAGGGAGAGAGAGAGGGGGCATAACATGTGACAGTTAAGATTGCTTTCCCGTGCATGCAAAATCACTACATTTCCAGGAATATGGCTAAAAACTTCAGGTGTTTAAGCAGTCATATTTGGGGAAGTAGCGCTTACCCCCTTAAGGGTGAAAGAGCAGGAAAATATGCTAGAAATGCTGATACTCAGGTTGTCTGCAAACGAACCATAGTTTTTTTGGACTGTCAAAAAACAGATCGTGGTCGTTTTATTATTTTGAAATTGATAGTTAAAACAGATGACGTAAGAGTGACAGTTCAACCTTAGCGAAAAACAACGTTTGCTGGGTGTCCCGCAAAGTGAGCGCAGCACCCGGTGACTTTCGCATGCATTAGTTTAGAGTAAAGCAGACTTACGCAGCATCTGTCTCACTCCCTCCTACCTCACCAGTCTGGTTCCCAGAGCAAGACAATGTCAAGACGGCTGGAAGCGGGCTTGGACGCAGTGGCTGATAAAACTAGCCAGTCTGTACACGTATGCCCCGCGCGGCACGTACGAGGTTTTCACGAAGACGGCTCATATCTCACGTGCGTCGGAGCGCGATAGAGGCCACAGTCAGAAGGAGCCATTGGGTCTGACTCAGCCCTTAGCTCAGGATGACATGACAATGTCAAGACGACCGAGGGTGCGCGCGGGCGCAGAGGCTGAGAGAGTCAAACAGTCCGTCAACGCGTGTCACAAAATACCTGGTTTCCGCCACCTCTACCGCGCTCTCATGGGGGCGGAGCTCGGATCTCACATGGGTGAGAGGAAGTCATTGCAGCCTGGCTCTCAGTTTTCTAGTCACTCTAGTATATTCACATAACGACCGAGTTAGCCTGTTAGTTTGCAGCATTCCAGGCCACGGCCTTTGACAATGCCGCGGTAGACTCGAGTGCATGGACTGCTGTGGGGATAGATTTTCTCAGTGTCGACCTTGTTCTCTCTCACTCTCCCCTCTCATTTGGGCCAGTCGACTGTCCTGACTTCTGCTGATTGAGAACGGGATTGGGCGCAGTGCTCGGCAAAGCCAGGCGGCCTGTCTACGTGTGCCACACACACGACCCGATTACTACTTTAGGGATTGGTATACACCAAAGAACGTGCTGCCCAGGTGTTCTGACGTTCGACAATGAGCTGACCGTGCCGGCGGCGGCGTCGAAGCGGTACGCATGGATGCCGCTGAAAAGAAGTATGATTGTCACGGAGTGTGACGTGTAGTGTAAAGTGGGTTCATACACGGCCTAGGGATGGATGTACAAGTAGGGCGAGGTCTGGACTGCGGTGCTCTCTCGAATTATATGCACGGAGGTGTATATGGCGAATAGGTCCATACGATGACCGAAAGTCACTTTGAGGTGCAAGCTGGTGAGCCAGATGTGACGGGTGCGAAGGGGGGCTTCTGGCATTTGGTTCGCCGGTTTCTGTGTGACGTAGTCGGTAA